TTCGTCAACTTCGTCAACTATGTCGATCATTTAGATCACATGACTTAATTTTAGCACAGTCACGGATCACGGCTTCAGCGTAAGAAACGAATCATGACAAATTCAGAATAACAATCTTTTTCTTCATATCCGATATCGGTCGCTAAAAATAAGAAAACTGCTCCTTTTCTGGTTTATTGAATACTGTGACTGAGCTTTTTTGTTTTAAATAGATCTTTATAATTTTCAAATAATTCTATTTACTGTCAAAGCATTTTTGTGTACCGATTTTAAATTATAATTTTAACTTAAATTTCTTTTTGCAATTGAATAGCAGTGGAATTTACAAGCTCTTCGTTGCTAGAAGCCGAGTTCATTCAAGTTTACAAATTTTCAAAAATTTTTTTTTTTTCGACTTTATACTCTTCACCATAAGGTTGCGGGGCAAAATCAAAACACAATATGCACCTTTCGTTTTTCGAAGTGTTTCAACAGTTTCGATTTCGATGCCTGTCGAAACCTCCAGGTTTTGCCTGGCAATCTTACTTCACGAGGTCAGTTATGGATAGTTTAAAGCTACTCTTCATTTTTCAACCAAGCTATGTTATAAACAGAAGGAAAATATAATAATTTCTTGGGAATACTCAGAAGAATCATCTTCCGGTAGTCGTCAAATTTTGGGTGGTCATGCAAGATCGAAAAGCCGTTTGTTCTATATTCATAAAAAGAAATTCAAAAAATTTTTTAGATAAGGTTTGTTGATACTGTTCCTATTATAAAGAATCTTATATACTTGAATATATTTCTATTAATTAGCACGACGAAAAAGAAATCATACCCCCCGCCCAAAATCGTTGATTTTATTACAAGAGAAACGAACCATTACACTTGACATTATGATTTATGTATATCAAGGTTTATATTACTTCAACAAAACTCTCCTCATCGCCGACTTTCTAGAAAGCAATGAAACTGGCTCTACAATTATACGTCAAAACTTTTTTATGGATAACCAACCTAAAATCAATTAGACTTGTTTTGAATCAGTTTCGGCTTATATGTTAAGAATCGTTGAGAAGAATAGAATTAGCTATTTGTTTCGAAATCAATTCAATCCCCATGATCAAGAAGACAATTATCTTTATGCAATTAGGAAGGTTCGCAAAGAACTCTCTCTTTTTTTTTTTATAATGCTTTAGTAGTAAGCGATATCTTTTTATTTTAATTTAACGATTAGTAAACACTTCTTCGGTATTACGGTGAAATGTAATTTATTTAAAACCTTCTTTAATAATCGTTACATTATTGTAGAAATAATTAAATTTCTCACCTAATTTTTCATTGAAATTTTACATAAAATAAGAAAACAATAAAAGCTTGACCAAATAAAATATGATAAATGTTTAATTTAAAATTGATTTATTTTCTAAAAATTTATTAATACCAATTTTTTGATTATCGTTATAACTTTTTCTACTAAAATTGTGAAAGAAAGATTGGTATAAAATGCTTTATAATTTATTATAAAAGATTAGTTTAAGTAATAAAATTATAATTAAATAAATTACTTTCTGCAAACAAATTATATTTATAATATACTACGAATCTAATCTCTCGTCATATAATTTTTCGCATAGTCATCATAAGAATGATATAACTAACACTTAAACTCTTATAAAGTGTATTACCAGTTTCGAGTGTAAAAATTATTCAAAATCAAGTCGAGTTTCAAGATATAGTAACGGTCATAGAGTATGTACGAAAAAATAATTTTGGACTAGTTTTGTATTTCATCAAATATTTTTATTAAATTTTAAATTGGTATTTTAAAATTTAAAACTTGTTAAATTTGTTTAAATAAAATAAATTTTCAAATTTAACGATATTTATCTTTTTTGACAGATTTATAAATACCAATTTTCAGCTTTATATGCTTTGGGTTAAATGATAAATTGCTTTCCTTATTAACTTTCCACATTTTCTATTTCTTTTTTTTTTTTATTATTATTATTATTTTTGATTTTAGTTTTCAAGATAAATAAACTTTGAACAATTAGATAATGGGTGGATATTTTGTTCTCAACTTGTATCTAAATTTTAATGAAATGACATACAATTCCTTTTAAATGAATAAGATGGTATTGTATGGTTAGATTAGTAGTAATATTACAAATAAAAAAATTTGAAATTGTAAATTGACTTATAAATACACAGAAAAGCACTTACGAAAGATATATTATCTCTAAAAATAAAATAAATAAATAAATATAATTTTGAAAAATTTTGTGTAAGATTTAATATTGTAGACAACCACCGCGTAGGAGCAGGGCTGTTTGATATAATTTACATTTAAATTAAAATCCTAAACATTGAACTGAAATTCAGTAATTAAAAACGTAATATTACAAATGACACAAACCATCTGAATTTCATAAAGCGACCCCTTCCAACAAAATTACTTCTTCCGAATAAATGTAATTCATCTAAAAATAAATAATATTATAGCTTTTGTTAAATAAATTTATCCATTTAGAACATTAAAGACTAATAACTTACAAGTTATCATACAGGATTTAACTCATCTTCCGGTATACGTAAATATAGACATAATGATAACCAAACAGTACGATGTCATTATGAAATAAATGAGGCTTTGTGCACATTCCGCCATGTTAAACCTTTGTGTGAAAAGTAAGGAAAAGCTCATAGATGTTTTTATTTGATCGGTGAATTTCATCAATTATCTATTAAAAAAAAAACTAGAGCTTGGAAGGAAGCAGCTTCCTTAACAGGTCGTTCTTAGAATTAGAGCAGACATACATCAACGAATTTTCTTGATTTGGCATTAAAACCAATGTTGTCACCAAGTAATCCTTCAACTAATTGTTCGTGATGATTTCAACCGAATTTACCTCAGTAGTGGAACTGACAAGAGCGAATATTACAACCATACCGGCCTTGATAACACCAGTTTCGACACGACCTTCTGGGGCCACCAAATTTGTAAACGGCTTGAAGTGGAAGACGAAGAGGTTTTTCGATAGGCTAACTCGGGTCTTAAATAGAATCGATAGCTTCCATGAAGTATTTCCTTTAGTTTTACCCCTATAAACCAGGTCATATTTGGGGATACTTACAATAGGTTATCCATGCCAGCCGGATATTGGGACAAAAGCAACAATTTTTTTGATTGTAACCAGTACGTTTGATAAAGCCAGAAACTTCTTTAACGATTTCGTTGCAACGTTCTTCTGACCAGCTTTTATCCATCTTGATAACAACAATAAGTTGTTTTACACCATGAGCATAAGCCAAATGAGCATGTTCACGAGTTTGGCTGTTTTTGGAAATACCAGCTTTAAATTCACCATTACTGGCAGCAATAATTAAAATAGCTCAATCAGCCTACGGCATCAAAAAATAAGAAAATTTAGCAAAACATGCGTCACACAAGTTGTCAAAGTGATCTAAAATCAAATATACATGAGATCGTTCAATTTTAGATTGATTATCTCAAAGAATTAGCTTGCAAGTAATCAAGTTTTACGTATGAAATCGGATTAGTTGTTTTTTCTATCCACTATTATTAAAAAAATACATGAAATGATCAAATAATGTATTTCAAATACATGATTTGCAGAATAAAATGGTTGTCAAAGGCAAATTAAAATTTGATTTTGCAGGGTCCACGTTTCCATTTATATTGCTTTGCTTATATTCGAACCCCTAATAAATTATTATTTAACAATAATTTCTAATTATAATCGAATCAAGTTTAATTACCATTCATAAGAAAGACTGTAAAGTCCCCAAAATATAAATTTTTGAATGGGTCGATTACATCATGTGACCAAGTGGATTCGTGCTTTTTGGTCATTAGATCGTAATTAGTTTCGAAATTTTGCTTATTTTATTTCTAAACTAAGATATTAATGCCCGTGTAGCGAGAAAGAGTTAAAAATCTGAGTTGTTATATTCAACTGGAATGGGATGCCTTTGTTTTCGCTTGATATATTTTTCAAGTCCTTCAGGAAGCGCTATGTGGGTATTTTCTCATGAAACATTTATTCGTTAATTGAAGTATAGTTACTATTAAATCGTGAAAGATATTCAAATCTATAATTCCCGAAAGTCACGGATTATTATTATTCTTAAAATTTCGGGTCTTATCATTCTACAGATCACACGAACGACCGAATTAACAGTTTCATCGTGCTGCATCTAGATTTTTACTTATCGTTATAATATGAATTGATAATTAAAAAAAAATTAAAAAAATTTTAGCATACAAAGTTTAACAATTTTAAAATATGTATTTTATTTTCAAAGTCTGGTCGTTTCCTTATAATTATTTCTTAACTCTTGCCATTTTAAATTAATTACGTTAATAACTACAAAAAATGCGACAACCGCAAATTAATTCATTACATGTTAAAATTTTAATCAGATGAATGTAGAAGAATTAGAATCATTTGAAATATCAGATATTATATATGATGATATTATTGAAGGTTTAACGATTACGGATTTGAGTATGGATTACATATTAAACGCGTTAGGAGGATTGCAAAGATATCAGAAATTAAAAGTACTTAACTGTGATTACACTCAGGTAATCAGCTTACCAACATTACCCAACTCCTTAATGGAACTTTATTGCAATGATACTTCAATAACTATCCTACCAATATTACCCAATTCCATAACGGTACTTGATTACTCTTATACCTCAATAACTATCCTACCAACTTTACCTAACACCTTAACTAAACTCTGGTGTGATGACACTAAAATAAATAGCTTACCAACTTTACCCAACTCCTTAACGGAACTATATTGTTATGATGCTCTAATAACTATCTTACCAAATTTACCCAATTCCTTAACGTATATCAATCCTGAATCTTTTAAACCTCAATACTTTAATAATTATCCTGCCAGGTCGAATAAATCCTGCCTATTTCCTAAATATTTAACCTTCTATATAACCTTTTTTTAATGAGAAGTAAATATATGATAAGCTATCAAAAGCCATAATTCCATTTTAAACTTTGTAATACATGGACAATTTGAATGTTATTTTATTTAAATATAAAAGCTTTCTCAAAGTAATAGTGTTTCGGGCGAAACTAGTTTCGCCAATTTGATCTGCAAAAATCTTTCCAAATTTAGGGTTTCGGAGGTTTCGGATAGTTTCGGATCATATAAAAATTCTCTGGGCGAAACGTTTCGGATGTTGAAAAATAGTTTCGCCTGAAACACTACAAAGTAAGCTGATATTGTTATATAAAATTATAAATCATTAAAATATGAGAAGTTTTCATTAATCTTTTTCTTGTTTTGTAAATTATTTTTATAATTTCAAATACGAAGTTTATTATTTTTTGTAAAATGATCTTTTATTTTCATTTCAGAAAATCTAATCTTGTTAAAGATCAAAGTAATGATATATTCATTATAGCTTAAGAATCCAATCCTCCTTCATTTACAGTCACCAACGAAAGTAATAGCTGTTTGTTTTTTGAGTTGTAGCATGTTCATTTTCCACTTCAGATTTTCCAGTAATTCTAGAGTGTTCTTTATAAATAACATTTAATAAACAAACAAAAAAAAGTTGTAGAAAAAAATAACTGAACTGAACCTTTATTATAAATCTGAAGAAAAGAGCCTAAAAATAAGTAGGCAATAATTAGTATATTAAAAAAAACTGAAAATTAATACATACCGTACAATTGGTTACATGTGATATTTTGTATGTATAGGTGACATATCAAGAAAGAAAAAAACTCAAACCCACCATTTATTCACTAATCTGTTTTTACCACAAATAAAAATCAAATATATTTTCCTTTATGTCATTAATGTAAAATATTAACAAGTTTACATCTAGATTTTTCACATATTATATTTCTTCACATAATGATATCACTAAATCCAAAAATTAAATATTTAATTATTCATTCATATATTTTCTAATATTTTTTTACGAGAGAACATTTCACATATATTCATAGTATTCAAATTTAGTCCAGTTGCTGCAATTATATTACCTACACATGGGGACTAAACTATTAAAATCACCTTATGGAATAAGAAATTGATTTTGAGTAAATAATGATTAAAAAATGCTACGCCACAGTAAACATTTTCAACCAATAATAAATTGTTCTATTTTTAAATATTAAGTCGAATTAATT